ATTTGACCGCGGTTTGCGTCCCGGACCCAGTGGCTTAAAACTCACGCCGGGCGCGTGTGCGTGTGTGCCCAAGATCCCGAGAGGAGAATGGAGGAGAAGGGATTGCGGCATGGCCATCCCCCCCCGGGGGGTGATTTCTCGCTTTCTGTCTCTCTGTCTCTCTCTGTCTCTGTCTGTCTGGAAAGTGCACACGCCCTATAGCAAAAACCTCTCCAAAAAAAAAAAAAAAAAAGAAAGAAAGAAATAGGCTCTTAGAGAAAAACTATTTTTCTCAGAGTATATGGTCAGAGGGTACCAAAATTTGATGTAGGATTCAGAACTCTTTAGTTTGGCCCTAAAGTTCATAGCTTTTCTCTCTTCAAATTGTTTTGAATGCTGTTTGACATAACTAGTTATTTAGTTCGTGCACACTAATTTTGGGAAATGAAATATAATTACCTGTAGGCCAGGTTTCCTTTTCAGCAGTGAAATGATCTCAATTAATTTGAGCTTTTGGAATGGATTCAGTAAGAAATACAGTTGCAACTGGAATTGGGTAAATAAAAGTCAGTGTATCTGTATTCTTACTATTTGCTCTTCTTCACTTTCATCTAGTTTGTAAATAAACTCATACATTCTCAGTCTGAAATTAAGCCATGTCAATGAATATTTAGATGGTAAAATAATTGATATTATATGTACGTAATTTTTTTTGCCATTACCAGAGAATCGTGGAGGCTTAATAGTTATTCAGCAAATGCTTATTGTGGGACCACTGTGTAGCAGACACTGTTCTAGTCCCCAGGACTTCTGAGTAAGCAAAATAGACCCAAATCCCTGGACATGTTTAAGAGGCCTTCTAATAGAAGGAAACATTGTGTACTTCATATGCCTCTTACTAATGTTTCACCTTTTTTTCCTGGAAATAGCCTTTGAAAGATATTTTAAGCTTGTTTCATAGATGTTGTTTTTTTCTTAATTGTCAGAGGGTGTGTGTACTCTCCGGGGGAGGGTAGGAGGAAGAGAAAGCCTTCCCCCAACTCCCAGTCTCCCAATAGGGCATGGTCGTGCTGCAATCCTTTTCCCCTCATTTCTCCATCCTGTTGGGATTTGCGGCTTGTATATACACATGCCTACCATGTGTGTGGCTTTTTCAAGCCACTGGGCTGGGATTTGAACCTTGTTCAGCCATGTGGAACCTGGCTCCCATACATAGTACTTAACTCCTGCTCTATGAAGCTGGCCTGAGATGTTATTTATCTTACATTCCTAGAGAGTGTGTACACTCGCCAGAGAGAGACAGAGACAGATGGACAGGGAGAGAGACAGAAAAACGGGGAGAGGATGTTCATGCCACAATTCCTTCTTTTCTGTTTCTCCATCCTGTCAGGATTTTGGCATGCATGCATGTCCAGTGCACCCAAGCTGCCAGGGCCTGACAATTAAATTGCAGTCAGCCATGTGGCTGTTTCTTTCTTTCTTTTTTTTTTTTTAATTATTTATTTTACTTTATTATTACTTTTAAGTTTTTCTATAGGGCACATGTGCTCACCAGAGAGAGAAGAAGTACTTGAACTTCAGCCAGCTATGTCAAGAATCCAGTGCCTTAACCACCATGCTACCTACTGGCCTGGCATCTAGCTTTCTTAACCAGAGAGCTATAGGGCTGACCAAAGATGTTATTTATTTATTTATTTATATTAATTTAATTTAATTTAATTTCTTCCTTGAGTGAGAAAAATAGTGACTCAGTACCCCCAACAGGCTTCAGCAGGCCTTGGGTCATTGGGACATATGTGCTTTGTGTACTCAGGGAGGTTTCTGGACTTGAACCTGAAACCTTCCTATGTAGTTCAGTATCAGAGACCGTCTCATTTTACTGCTGTGCCTCTGTTAGCCCCTGTAGTTATTAAAATGTGAATGTGACCTTACGAAAAACCAGTTTTATCTGTATCAGATTTGAAATGTAAATTAAACTTTCAGAATTCTCTGATTAAATTTATCTAAATATAATACCATTTCATGTAATTACAGAATGGACCAGTAGTACAGAATATTTTGAAAAATTAATATTCTTGGGACAAGCAGTTGGCATAATGGCTATGTTGCTGGACTCCCATGTAGTCGACCACGGTTCGAGTCTCGGACCCAGTGGCTTAAACTCATGCTGGGCACATGTGTGTGTGTGCCCAAGATCCCGAGAGGAGAATGGAGGAGAAGGGATTGCGGCATGGCCATCTCCTCTGGGGGGTGATTTCTTGCTTTCTGTCTCTCTGTCTCTGTTTTCCTGGTGAGCGCACATGCCCCATAGCAAAACCCTCTCCAAAAAAAAAAAAAAGAAAATTAATATTCTCAGTGTCTTCATTTTGAGGGTTTGGCATGTGTGGTCTGATCTTGCTAAGCTTTTTAATGTTACTATTTATTTTAGGATATTTTTTAAATTTCTTCTATACTAATCAGAATGCTTTCTATGAAAAAGACCGCTCATAATTTTTTAAAAAATATATTTTTAAAGTTTTTTTTTTCCATGGGACATGTGTGCTCACCAGAGAGAGAGTGAGAAAGAGGGGGAGAGAAAGAGAGACAAAGAGAGAGTGAGAAATCACTCCCCCATGGCAGATGGCCATGCTGCAGTTCCTTCTCCATTTTCCTCCTGGGATTCTGGGCAAGCATGCACACATACCCAGTGTGATTTTTAAGCTGCCAGGTCTGGAAATCAAGCCATAGTTGGCCATGTGGGAGCCTAGTGCCTTAACCACT